TATGTGCTGACAGTTCTTTTTAAAATCAAGTATTACACAAGGTTGACACATCTCTGTAGACTAACCACATGGATTCTGGATTTATGCTTCCATCCAGTCTTGAACCAAGTGAGATCAAAGAGCTTTCATACTGTATAGGCAGCATATGATCCCAGTCTTACTTTTGACTTGTAGCCAAGGCTACAGAGTTTCAGACTTTTTCTTGGAGGAGCGCTGTGGGCTCTAATTGTATTCCCCACAAGAGGGCTTTTTTTTTAAATTCTGCAATATGCCACAAAGTATATGTAACTGTAGTTAAACAACGTGCACTTCTTAGTTCATCCGTAAAACAATACAAGAAGTGATGATCTCTTGTTGGTCGTACTCAGGCACAAGGAGAGGGCAGCTTTGTGTGTCAAAACCTCTTTTATTTACTTGGTTGGTGATACAATATCCATCTTGTTTAGAGGAGGATTGCTTTGTTTAGGCTGAGAAGGCTGTGTTGCACAGGAGCAGCATCTGGATCAGGAAATGGGGGCAGTCAGGGTCAAAGGTCACAACACTAGTGAACATCCATTTACCTCTTTATGGAGGCCTGAGAGTGAAGTATTGTTCCAGGTGAAACACAATGAGATTTGGACTGTTTTTTCTTTCTTCTTTTAATCAAGCATTTTTAAAAATCAAGTATATTACATCTTAACCAAGGAGACGGTCACACCTGGAGCATGTTGCTAACACATTCATTTATTTCAGTCTGCTATAAAGTAAATGTGTACATTTGCAACTTAAAGTTTTGATCTTTAATATATTTGTATATGGAGAAGATGATACTTATTGAAAACACATGAGAAAGAGCAGCTCAAGACTCTTCAAGGTGAGTGTAGTGCACCTGCCTGGTAGCCCTGTCCATGGTGCTGATCTCAGCAGACTCCGCTTTCCGTCTGCTGTACCTGTCAGGTGCTCAGGCTGATCTCCAGCCACCTTGTCTGACTGTTTTTACCACTGTTTTTTATGTTGTAGCAACAACTTACACTTTCATATATCATCTTGCTTTACTGTCTTTTTAAAATTGTAATGATTGCATGTCAATGAAATCTTTAACAACAATCTTATATTATAAGGACACAATGAGGGGTCACTTTCCATTTTGAGTACTTCTACTTTCATACATTTTGTTGCTAATACATCTTCACCTTTACTAAAGTAACATCTTAGATCCTGCGTAATGAAGTATTTTGATATTATTTTACTGTATTACTACTTTTACTTGAGTAGGGTGAAAAGAGAAGTAACAATTTGCACATTTTGTTTTGCTGTCTGATGTTTATGATTACATTTGAATCTCGGATTTTTTTTCACAGTGGGAAGGACTTTACAGAAGCCCTAAGACTTTCCTTCTTCTCATGCACATATCAACTGTATAGTCCCCAGTCCAGCCAGATATGACTCAGGGATGTTGTGATCAGTGTCTCAGGCCACTGTGTCACAAGTACACATCAGCTTTCCCTATCTGAAAAACAAAAAATGCAAAAGATAGTATTTTTACTCACTTTACATGTCTTTACATTTCTTGGCACATTGTTCTGTAGTGCTCAGCTCTTTGCTGCTGAAGTGACTCGGAGAAAACCCAGCTGTTTCTCTCACATATGATGTCATCATGGGACAACTCCACCAGTGTTGATCTTTAGTAAAGGCGAAACCTTCATTAGTCACTTACAGACTGTCAGGCCTTGACAATGACAAGAACAATAAGAGGAGATAAACAGTACTGATTGTTTTTTTTTTTTTTGGTGAGATTTATCATACATTTCCCTCCACTGACCCAGAGCAGTGGTGAATAACAGATGAAGAAGAAGACCTTTGTCCTTATCAACGAGCAGTGAGTGGGTGTTATGATAAAGTGAAATGCATATTACTAAGTCACGCAACTTGACACATCAGTCATGAATGACCCCAGAGCATCATTAACCAGCCCTCACCAGGGTCACATTAAGGAGGAGACAACTCAAGCTCTCGCTCACTAAGTTCTGAGCCAGAGCCAGATCCATGGAGACCTGTCTGTTTTCTCTGCTCCAGCCTCAGAAGGCAGTGTTCCTCTATCAGCCTACTCATATCTATTGAAATAACAAACCACAGTCTTCCACATGTACAAGACTCCTTCAAATGACAGTGAATTTTACATTCAGTCCATTAAAGTTTAGTGCCAGTTCACTAAGATGGATCAACTGCACAGGATGAGAAAAAACAGGGGTGCATTCTTCAAAGAGATGTCCCAGATAAGCCCTAATCAGCCCTCAGAACTAACAAGGTCAAGTGGCAGTGTTGGATGACAGCATTTTTCCTCAGCATTTGTCTCAAAAACATCCCATTCTGTGGCAGAATCCAGACGTGATTTCACTTTTTTCTCTGATAACAGCAGTCCGGTGGTGACGAGAGAGGATGTGGGGTGTTGAATTGGGAGGTGAGGTTGAAAACGGCCCTTTTTAAGCTGTCCGGACACATTGGAGCCAGGACTCCTGAAGTTAGCTGTAAAAGCAAGCCTTTGAAAGGCGAGTGCTTTGATGTTACAGGTTCTAATCATGGTTCAAGTTGGCGTCCTTCTAGCAGAGCACAATTAAACTTTGTTTGAGAAAATGCAGCAAAGCCTGCCCATTCCTACAGTCTTATAAAAATGATCATTTTTATGGAATGAAGGCTTGAGTTTGTGCACGGATGTTACACACACACACACACACAAAAACTAATGCAGGGCTCCTCCAAGTCTGAGACAAGTTTTACTCACAAATACAAGCAAAAGTTGGAGAATCACTCATTTCGCATTTAACTTGTGTGTAAGTTTGTTTCTCTCAGTGAAGACTACCAGATGAACATCAGCTCATATATTTCATGCTCATGCCACTGCTGAAACCTCAGTACCACTGAGCCGTGCCTTCTGCTGCCTGTAAAGCACGCTGCCACCCAGCAGACCACACACACATTCACCCACACTGATGCAGCATGGAGACCAGTGCACTGACCCATGCAAAGAAAATATCTGTTCACGGAGTTACAGTAGCTTTACCATATATTAGCCAGACTATGCAAGCTTAACAGGTGCTGTTGTGGGTTTACAGATTTTGTGTCCATTTGTATGAGTCTACCTTCATTCAAGTTTTTAATGTTCTGTTTTTGTTCAGTCTGTTTTGGAAAGTTGTAGATTCAGTTGTATAGTTTTCCTTTATACTAAGGGATGACTAATACTTTGTCCACCCAGTTTATATCCATGAGGGTAGCATAAACTGAAAACCAAATAGATTTCTAAAATACAGCCAGAGAGCAGCGTAACATGGCATGTCACATCAGTTTATGTAAGTGATAAGCATAATGTCAGTAGTAAAGTGTGGTTCTTCACTCTAACCACAAGTACTTCGAAAAGTCCCACCACAGTCACTGTTAATAAGGGTTCTGTGAGGAGAGGGGAGGTCAAATAAAGTGCTCCAGCTGCACATGAGGATAAATCGCATACACGAGGGATGATGGACAGAGGTGTGGGGGTGGAGTGCGAGGACTTGGGGAGTGATTGGGACAGAGGAGGGTCTCCCAGCCTTCGCCAAGAACAACAGGGGAGAAGTGTGGAGGATCATGCTGGCTGCTTATCTTTAGATAGATAGATAGATAGATAGATAGATAGATAGATAGATAGATAGATAGATAGATAGATAGATAGATAGATAGACAGACATATTCTTTGAAAAATGTGATGATTTATAATTTTGCCATTCTGCATTCCTCGTATTTGGGCAGCTTTCAACACAAGAAGCATGTGGCACAATAAATTCAAAGACACTTCTAACTTTTGCAGCCAGCCAGCTCTGAATTATGCGAGGTAGTGGTGACACTAACTCTCCTCTGAACTGCAGCTGTGTTCCCATCTCCCCCAGATTTCTGCTCACCTCTGCTCCTCCCAGAGTGTCAGTTAGAGGCGACCTCCTCCGCCTCCTTCAGTCAGACCAATCAGTCAAGATACAATAGGCTACCTCTCCGGCTATGTTGTTTTTGGAATGGGAGCCCTTCAGCTCTGCTTGTTCTCCCTGGTGGTTGACAGAAATTAGCCAAAAAGACAGTCTTCACTGACCAATTTATCTCCCCTCCCCAATCTAAGCCGACTGTAGAGTTTACATGTTGTTTTGCTCTCAGGGTGTTTACTCATGTGTGAACTCATCAGTGTGGATGTCGTATAATCATGACCACCCAGCTCTTTTCAAGATGTGAAGACATTCAGCTTGAGTATCACCTTATTTCTGTAGTATTTCCACAGCATACGCATTAAAATGTTATCAACCAGATTATAACAAATAACTTTTCCATGATAGAAAGCTGTCATGGCAGAGTGAAAGTTTTCATTCAGGCACTGAGAGCTCAGGTCTGTCAAAGACATTACCTGTTGTGAAGCGTAGACACCAGCAGCTTATGGCTGTTCTCATCTGCTGGACATTCTCCAATGTAGAGGTGAAAGGAATGTGTCTAAATACAA